GGGGGGGGGGGGATCTCAAGCTTGTCCAGGTCCTGAATAGCATAAACCCGAATAAAAGTGGTGGCGAACGTACACCACGCGAAAATGCCCCCCTCGGCCCAGTAGGGCCCATCCACGAGCCCGTTAAGGACGAAAAAACGAGCCTGGAGGTACATGGCAATCGCCAGCCGAGCGATAGCCAGCGGGAAATGCATCTGCCTGGCGCGCCACAACAACATTTTCAGGTTAATGGTTTCATCGTACCTGTAGAGGTCAAGCAGCACCGTAGCCGCTTCTTCTTTAGACAAGGTAGACGTCTCCGCACGGACTGCCTGCCTCCAGACAACGCCCTGAGCCCCCTCGAAGGGGCCCGCCGCAAAATGCTCACGAGAGTGGGTGAATTCCCACTGCTGGGCCAGCGGGCGCCTCACCTTCCCATGCGCACGGTGCAGGGCACAGAAGTTCCCAATGGGACGAAACCCCACACTCGCTTTGGGAATGAGAGAAAGAAGAGTGACGGAGATCTGGACAGGGATCAAAGCCGCGAGCTCCATAAAGGCAAACAGGTCCACGACCGTAAGCAACGACGCGTCACTCATAAACGAGAAGTGCTTCATGTGAAAGCCATCCACACTGACAGAAGTATTGTCTTTACACTTCCTAGAACAGTCCCTTATGGCTTCCACAGGCACAGGAGGCAGAGGCGGGGCCAACTCACCAATCTCGAACCAACTCCCAGACCCTCCGTCCCCCCAGAGCTTCGAAAACTTGGAAGCTTCAGCCTTGAGTAAAGACAGAGGGTCAGCCACCACCAACCCATCCAGGGACAGGGTGGTGGGGGGGGTCCAGGGAGAGGCCCCCTTGGAGACCGTGTGCACACGACGGGCCCCCCGATGCGCTTTGAAGAGAAGCCACTCCCTCCATTCCTGGTTGGCTTGCTTCCTGGATCCCGCCTCCACCTCCGACAGAACAACCTGGAAGGTGCCCTCCAAGTGAGTAAAAAGGTCGAAGACGGGCCCGTCCTTGGCCTCGTACATCGGCAACTCACGGATAAACTCGAGCAGAGCTGACAGGTAGCTGGCTGTGGGCCCTAAGTACTGCGAAAACTGAGGCGGCGACTCCAAGGCCTGGAGCACCGAGTTGATGCCCGTCTGGCTGCCCTCTGACCAGAAGCCTTCGAAGTGACAAAACATGTTGGCCAACCACCTGCACGCGAACAACTCATTAGACTTACTGGGGGGCCCCTTGAGAGACAGGGTCCTTTTTGTTCAAGATAGGCCTCCAAACCATCTGAGGGGGCTTCCCTCTCGAGCCCCAAACGGGCAGGACCTTACCAGTGGCCGCGGACACCTCACGCTCAGCAGCATTCGCCCAAAGCTTGTAAGCACGATCGAGGGCCTCTTGGGCCCTGTCCCAATCACCCTGCCCCACCGCAGCCCTAGCAGACTCCAGCACCGCGTGCACCCTCGTAGGCGCAGGAACCGATTCAAAAACTTGAACAGGGGCCAGGGGGCACGTGGGGAGCGGCGAAGGGCGCCGAAAGGCCAGGGCCTGGAGTCGTCCCAGGCTGGGATGCAGCTTCACCTGCACGGGCAAGTGGGGGGTGAGGCTACTCTCGCGGATCACCTGGACTTGGCTAACGGCCTTAGCAACACCAGCAGAGGCAATAAAAACATCGAACTGCTTAAGACCAGCCGTAGACTTGCAAGTATGCCCGTCGGGAATCAAAAACTGGATTGCACCCGGCCTGCACCCGAGGCCTCCCGAGAGCAGCGCGGTCGGCTCCATATTAAAATCCGCCCCCAGGAAAAAGGGGTATCCCAGGGCCTGTCCCAAGGACAAGCACGAGCAGAGCAAATCGATATTTTCATCCGATAAGTCCTGGCAATCGTGGAAATAGGCGGACAGGATGGCCAGCTGCGCCTGCCCAGGGATGTCCACGATGCCAACCAGAGCCCGTCCAGCGACAATCTGATGGCCAGACGGCGGCGCAGACAATCCCAACGACTCGCGCACGAACAGCGCCACTCCAGCAGAGGCTCCGCCTCCACTAGCCGTCACCGCCGTCACCCACAGGCTCTTCCACCCATGGCGAATAGCCCGCGAAGATGCAGATGCCAGCTGGTGCTGCAACTGCTTATGCTCCTGCGTGACCACCACGTCAGCAGCCGTCTTCTGCAACCACAGCTGTCCCGATCCCCAACCAGAACCGTTACAGGTCTCAATAACTGGTGCGAGCTGGTCCAGCGGGAAAGCGTCGGCCTCCAGAGGCCGCAGCAACTGCTCCTGAGGCCTGGGTGAGACACCGGGCATGAGTGGCCCACGAAGCTCCAAAAACTTACGAGGAGGGTTCGGGTCACTATGCACGAGGGCCGACTTGGCCCTTGCCAACGTGTGACGAACAGCTTTCAGGAGAGAGGGACGAGCACGCGGCCGAGAACCGTCGGCATAGGCGTCAGCCTGCAAAATCCACGCACGGCGAGCCGAAAAAAGTTTGGAGGCAGTCAACTCGACAGCTCCAGCGTTCTTACCCAGGTTCTCGATGCTGCATGCGGCAAATGGTGGGGAGGAGGAAGAAGGTCGACCCTCGGTCGACTCCAAAAAGTTGACAGGAACGCAGTCTGCCGAAGACTCAGAACTCAGAACAGGTACACGATGAACGCCTCCCTCGGGAGGCAGAAGTCGTCCTTGATTCCCCCCCTCAGGCGTCGGGCCCTGCGGGGGGGGGCTGCGTGTAACTCGGTCAGCACGAGTGCGAACATCACCAGGCGCAGCCGCGGGATCTGGCGGGCAGTCTCCAGCGGGCGCCGCCGCGGGCGCGGCAGCCCCCTCACCTCCCTGGCCAGGAGGCGCGGCACGTGCGGCTGGTGAACTGCCACTCCCTCCACTGGGCGCACCACCAGGGGCAGCACCTCCAGCAGCGGGTGCACCATCTTGTTCTCCCATTCTGCGACGCTTGGCCTGTAGACGCTTGAGCTGTTCTGCCTGAGCATCTTTGAACGCCTTGGACTTCGCCGCAGCATCACCGAAGAGTTGTTGTACCGCAGCCTGGATACCTTCTTGGAGTTGTTCCAGCCTCTTGGTGGCCTCGCGCTTGTCTTCGTCCGAGAACTCATACTCCTCCTCCGCCGTGAGAAGGCTGTCCAAGCAGATGGGCAGGGTCTTCCCGCTGAGGAGGTCGTCGATACTGAGCTGTGGGCCAGGCTTAGGCTCCTGTCCGCAACCCGTGGACGACTGCAACTGGCTGACGAGCGACTTGTGCTTCTCCTCGGCCACCTGCAACTCTGTCTTGAGGGTACGAACACGATCACGTTGCTGGTCCAATTCGCCCTCGAGACGCTCGCAGGCGGTGAGGCTCTTCCCGAGCTTGGTCTCCAGCGCGCGCATCTCGTTGAAGGCGCGGTTGACCTGGTGCTCCAGAGGGACCTGGGTCTTGGCCTCGTCGCTCTGGCGCTGCAGCCGACTGTCGAGCTCCCTCTGCCACTTCTCGGCGGCCTCGGGGTCGCCCATGCGACGCAAGCCGTCGACGAGCCCGCGCAGCTGGTCGACGTCGGAGAGCTGGGTCGCCGCAGGCGGGGGGCCACCCCCACCAGCCAAGAACTGAGGGCCAGGACGACGAGGTAAGCCATCAGCATGAGCGGGGCTCGCCGCGAGTGCCCACGTCCCTGGGGGCGCGGGACCTCCTGCAGCGGCTCCCCACACGCCTTGCGGCTGAGGCCACGGCGGGTCCATCCGCGGGGTCGCCCGCCAGGCCCAGCAGTTCTTGCACTGCTGCCATCCTTGCTTGTTCTTCTTGCATCCACACGAACTGCTCGTCCATGTAGATCCTGGACTGAAGCCGTCCCAGTGGACCCAGCCGCTCTCAGCCGAGCGCGCCGCGCGCCATGGCCAGCTGGCAGCCCGCGGAGGGGCAGCACGCTGGGCAGAGCCTGGCGGCGCCATGGCGGCAAGGCAAACTGGGCGAGTGAAGGTACCTTGTCAGATCGCTTGGCTCGCAGGAGCGCGTGCCCTTCTGAAGAACGTCCCTGCAACGCAACTTGGCGCAGAAGGGCTAGGAGGAGGAGGAGGAAGGGCTGGAGGAGGAGGAGGAGGAGAAGGAGGAGGAGGAGGAGGAGGCGCGTACTTTGAAACACGTTGATCCATCCGTGAAACTATTGCAAACGCCCTCGATGCGGATCATGAGCGGCGACGACCTCTCGAGCGAAACGCCCGGCCCGCCCTGCCGACACGTCTCGGGGTGCGACGGGGAGGAGTCGCCTGCAAGAGAAACGGCATGGAAGGAGCGATCCTGAAAAGTCTCCCCGCGTGACGGGAGGCATCCCAGATGGGGTCCGAGTAGATGGGGTCGGAGGATCGCACCGCATCGTCGATGCATCACCGATGCACTGGCGACGCCAGCGATGCATCGGCGACGTCGGCGTGGAGAACATCGGTCTCCACATCGAACCGCATCGCCGATGCATCGTCGATGTGGCGGAATTATCAGATCCCATATGCTCGGACCCCAGATGGGAGGCCTAGAACGACGACGCCGAGGACGAGGACGAGGACGACCACGACGATAACGAGGACGAGGACTAGGACGGGACGAGGACGGGGACCACGACGACGACGACGACGACGACCACGACGACGACGACGACGATTACGACGACGACGACGACGGCGACCACGACGACGACGACGATTACGACGACGACGACGACCACGACGACGACGACGACGACGACCACGACGACGACGACGACCCCACCTGCGAGGCCCAGAGAGACTCACTTCGGGAGCGGCCAAGAGGGGGGTCCAAGAGGGGGGGGATGCAAATCATGGCCGGCGGCATGTGCGCGGCCCAGCGGGGGGGCCGGGGACGTAATGAAGTAAGGAGAGGCGCCATGAAATCGGGGGAAATATCATGCCCCCCGCCATCACCCCCCTCTTTTCCGCCTCCGATCACTACATCGGGGCGGGGCGGAGCGAGCAGCCGGGCGTACCGAGGCTGGGGGCGCCCCCCCGCGGAGCCCCGCCTCCGGCGCGGCCAGCACGGTGCCCAGCACGGCGGCCTGCGAGGCGGACAGCTCCGGCGCCACCTCGGGGCGCGGGAGGCACTGGGACGCCCCCGGCGGGGGGGAGAGGAGGAGGAGGAGGAGGAGGAGGAGGAGGAGGAGGAGGAGGAGGAGGAGGAGGAGGAGGAGGAGGAGGAGGAGGAGGAGGAGGAGGAGGAGGAGGAGGAGGAGGAGGAGGAGGAGGAGGAGGAGGAGGAGGAGGAGGCGGAGGAGGAGGAGGAGGGGGGCCGGATCGATCCGGCAGGAGGGAGCGTCGTGCACCGCGGCGCCGTCCCCAGGGGGGGGGGAGGGAGAGCCCCAGCAGCGGAGGAGCTTCCTTCTGCCCCCCCACGGGAGGAGGGGTGAGGAGGGAGGGTCCCGCCAGGAGGGGGAGGGGGGAGAGAAAACCCCCAGGGGAAGAGGGAGAGTCCTCCTCAGGACTCCTCCCCCCCCTCGCCGCTGGGGGGGGAGGGAGAGGAGGGAGGAGGCAGCTCTGGCGCCACCTCGGGTGCAAGAGGCTCTAAGCCTCTCCCGGGAAGGGGGGCGAGGATCGGAAATCCCATCTCAGCCCTGAAGGTTGTCTAGGGGTCACCTCCTCATTCAACCCTCAGACCCTCCCCCATGAGAAAGTGATCACGTGATCACTGCTCCTTGTTGACGCGCACCCCCTCCCCCACTCGACCGTCCGGTAACAAAATGCATTCCAGCAACATCCAGTTCATACTCGGGCGCCCCGCGACCATTTTGAATTGCCTTTTGAAAGTGGCGGCGGGGGTATTGCCTTTACGCAGGTCTACCACCCCTGTCAAAAACCAATGCTAAAGTGCATGTTGCGGCAAGATCTTGGGCAATGTGCGGCACCGTGTGCGGGCGATCCACGACCATGTTGGGGATGATACTGGGGGCCACGGCACGCGCGGCGGACCTCGCGGGCATGGCGCAGCTGGCTGGCGTCAGCATCGATTCCCGATTGTTGTCGATGCCTGCCCTTGCCTATGCTGAAACTCGGGTGCCGATTACGTATGTGGTGGGAGGGTGGTTCGGAGTGAGCGAGACCGTCCGTAGGGATACGGCTTGCGGCTGGAGGTTAGCTTGATCAGTGCTCCTTGTTAATAAGCACCCCTTCCCTCACCCGACCGGCGACAAACCTGGGCCAATGTGGGCACCGCCCCCCCCCGCCATCCCTGTGCAAAGTGCACTTGGCGGCAAAATCTTGGATCATGTTCGGGGGCACCGCGAGCACAGTGTATTGTTTTTGACCAGGGGTGCCAGCAGATGGCCTGCTGTGCGCAGGGCCACCATCTCAATAAAAAGATACAAACTGCACTTCGCGGCTAAATCTGGATCATGCGCGGGCACCCCGCGATCACTTTGCAGTGGTTTGTGACAGGGGCGGCGGGGGTGCTGGCATATTGCCTGCTGCGTGCATGCCCAGTAGACATCGTGATGGCCACTCCACCGCGAGTGCGCGTTTGTCTTCGACAAGGACCGTGGGGGCCGACGCGGCGCACTTCGCCCCAGCGTCACGCACCTCGGGTCTGTTTTGGTTCCCATCAGCTGTCAGTCCAGAAGACCGCTGAACATGCTGAGAGTCTTGACCCCTCCCCCTAACGATTCCCCTGGGTCTGGAGGCACTGTCCAACCTCGGGGGGGAGGATCGGGAACTTCGAGGATCCAGGGTAACAAATTTTGGGAACCTTGACTTCTTTTTGAGCCTCCCAGGGCCTGGATCCACCTCACGGTTGGGGCTGGGGAAAGGGAGGAGGAAGAAGAGGAGGAGGAGGAGATCCGCGTAGGTCCCCTGAGTTCTGTGCAGGCGGCCTCCAGGGATCCAGAAAAACAGCAAACAAACCTAAGCCTTGTGTCCGCGATCTTCAAGGGTCGAGGAGGAACAGAAAAGCGGACTCTGTGTGGCCTCGATGGGCCGCACTGGCGGAGCACACGCCCCCCCCCCCCAAACGGCCTGGATGACTAAACAACAGCGCCATGACCGCAACGGACGCACAGACCTCTCGAGTGGAGCGTGAGCAAGCATCTGGGAGGCTTCTGGGGACGACGACACGGACGGCTGCGATGACGATGCCCAGGAAGGTCTCTGGGTGCCCCCCGCCAGACTGGGAGAGGCCCTCCCGGAGGAACCCAAACTTCCGATGCCGTGGTTTTTGTGCAATACGCTGTCCCCAGAAGCCTCGACCCATTCCCCGAGACCGGTTTGTCATCCTGAGTCGTTTTTTGAAGGTCCTGAGGCCGGGTGAGGGCCCCCAGGGGCCGAAATTTGCGGACAACCACCGTCTTGATTTCTTCAACGCGCTGGATCTCTGGGAAGGGCCTCGATCTTCGAACCGCGACCCTCGACCGAGGGCGACGAGCGGCGAGCGGCGGGCGGCGGGCGAGCAGCGCGGCGGCGGCGACGGCGGTCAGCGGTCAGCGGCGAGCGAAGACGCTGCGAGCGGCGAGCGGCGAGCGGTCCGCGGCGAGCTGCGAGCGGCGGCGGCCGACGGCGGGCGGCCTGCGAGCCGCGCAGCTGCTGCGCCGGCGGCAGGAAGGCCGGGGCGGTGACCGCCTGCCCGCCGCGGCTGCATTTGGGGGCCGCCGCGGGCCCTCTCCGGAGGCCTCTCCGGAGGCCCCTCCGCAGGCGCGCGGGAGGTCGCCGAGGGCCCTCGGAGGCCTCGAGGGCCCTCGGAGGCCTCGAGGGCCCTCTCCGGAGGCCTCTCCGGAGGCCCCTCCGCAGGCGCGCGGGAGGTCGCCGAGGGCCCTCGGAGGCCTCGAGGGCCTCGAGGGCCCTCGGAGGCCTCGAGGGCCCTCTCCGGAGGCCTCTCCGGAGGCCCCTCCGCAGGCGCGCGGGAGCTCGCCGAGGGCCCTCGGAGGCCTCGAGGGCCTTCGCTTTGTCAGGGCCCCGTAGACCAGGACACGCTAGACCAGGACATCCAACATCCCTCGTCATGCCACGCTGGACCAGAACACGCTACATCACTCGTACCTCGCTCTCTCCCGTCATCCCTCGAAACCACTTTTTCCAGACGGCGGCACGAAACAAAAACTGCACTGCAACATTCCTGGCATAAGCCCGGACACAGGCCCTGAGAGTGTGCAAAACATGCCCAGGCCCGGGCAAAAACCCGAGCAGCGCAGCAAAAAAGAACTACACTGGACAACCAAACTTGACTTCGCAAGAAGCGGTGCCGTTTCCCCGACTTGCCAAAGTCCTGGTTCGTCGGTTCGTCCGTGTCCTGGTCTCCGGGTACCTGACTTCAGAGGCCTCGGTGGCCTTCGGAAGCCCGGGCCTTCGGCGCGAGGATCGAGGTCTTGGGGCGCGTCAGTCTGGACCTGCTTGGGCCTCTGGAGGCCCCTGAAGACCCCTGGAGGCCTCCGGGAAGCTCCCGAGGTTCGAGGGCTGGGTCCCCGCGTTAAGTTGGCAGCGACCCGCGACGCGCGTTTGACCATTTGTCCTGGTACGCGCACCAGGGACTGTGAACCAAGAGGCCGAGGCACGTGCATGAGTGGTATCGCGCACTAGCTGGACCCCAGCCTGCACTCCAAATGTCCAGAACTCCTCCTCCTCGTCCTTCTCCTCCGCCTCCTCCTTGCCGTCCTCCTCCGCCTCCTCCGCCTCCTCCTTGCCCTCCTCCTCCTCCTCCTCCTCCTCCTCCTCCTCCTCCTCTCCTCGACACTTACTCAATCTTACTCTCCATGCTCTCCTGAACATGTCCAAAAGATGTCCCGCTCTCTCCGCGTATTGTTTTCTGACACGCAGGAATTCAAACGTTGGTCTTTCATTCCCCAATCAGTGCTTGCACTGAGATTGAAAGATTTGGCGATAATGCCGGGCCGATTTCGGTGGGTGGCCGGGTTCCTGGGTTCCGGGTTCTGGGCTCCCTGGTTCCCGGTTTCGGGTTCCGGGCCGATTTCGGTGGGCGGCGGGGTTCCGAGTTTCCCGGGTTCCTGGTTGATCTTCTTATCGATCGGTCTCGCCATCGATTTCATTACCCACCTCTCTATCGATCTCTCTATCGATCTCACAATCGGTCTCACTATAGATCGCACGAGCGATCTCACGATCGATCTAACTATCGATCTCATTGAATCGACTTCGCTATCGGTCTCACGATCGACCATACAATCGTCCTCACTATCGATTCCACCATCGATCTCACATTGGATCCCAATCTCCATATCACTAATGTCCAAACCATCCACTGATTTGGGTCTTCTCTGGTGCAATCTGTCTGTTTCCATTGTGAACACCTTTGTTGCTTCAAGCTGACGCTCTCGCTGCAGCGCTGGCCTCCTTTTGGGGTCGGCGCCCTGCTCCCGTCGTCCAGAGTGGCGCTCTCGCCCCAGCGCAGGCCACATCTCCGGATCCGAACTTGCCCTCGTCGCTGTCGCCCCCTTCCGTTCCCCTCCCCCGCCCTCCCCTGGTCCTCCTGCTCCACCCGCCCCTTCGGCTGCCATATGCCCCCTCGTCCTTCTCGCTCCTCCTCCCTCCTCCTCCTCCGCCACCTTCTTCTCCACTGTGCACAGCTTCCGCTTCTAGCTTGCGCATGCCACGATAGGGGTCCCGCGGGGCGTTCCAGGTCCGCTGCGACGCCCATCGTCGGATGGAGAAGCAAGCAGCGCAACAGGAAGGGATGGGTGGGGTGGGTAGGATGTCAGACGTGGCGCGAGTGCACCTGGCTTGCCTCCACCCCTCTCCCTCCTCCCAACTCGGCGCGCTCTCTCATCTGGGTCTGTACCTCCTCCTCCTCCTCCTCCTCCTCCTCCTCCTCCTAAGCGAAGATCCTACGCGGGGAGGCCAGCAGCATGCCTCCGACGGATCTCCCAGGCAACGCATCAACCAATTGATGCTGCAAAACACGCCACGTTTTAGCATGTTGAGGATGCGTCCCCAAGCGCGGTGGCATGCCCACGGCAACGCAATTGGAAAGCCCAACCTGAATATAAAACATGCAGCCGGATGCCTGGAAACTGTCAATGCCCATCTTCCTTTGGACCTCAGACCCCTAGAGACGGACAGTGCAAACATGCATGTCCTCTGTCGGGTCCAGGGCGACGAGCAAGCAATGGCGAAAAAATCAGCCCGTGGCTGCGACTGATTTGAGGTGCCCCTGTCCTTGATCGCTAGCAACCCTCGTCTATGGGCCCTAGAATCCGTTCCTCCCTTCCGTGTCCGCTTCCCCTCCGCTTCCCCACCCTTGGGCTCTTTCACTGGGCCCTCCGGAACCCCCTTAGGAACCCCTGACCCCCCAGAACCACACTTGAGCGACGATCGAAAACGGGTCTTACGCGAGATGGCATAACGACCTTACGCGATGACGTACGCGGGCTTCCAGCGCGGCACAATACGCTGGAAACGAGGACACTCACGCATAACCCTACGCGGGCAACTTACGCGGCAATGACTGCACAGTCCAACCCGTGTTTCTGCACCGCTCATTTGAATCTCTTACGTACGCAGAAGCCTCAGAACCCCTCGAACCTTTCAAAACGTCATCCGTCTCTCGTCATCCCTCCTCCCTTCCTCCGCTCTCCTTCTCCTTCTGATCCTCCTTCCTCCTGGGCGTCGCCTACTGCGGGGGCGATAGATGGGAAAGGGAGAGAACAGTGCACTTTTCGGGCCCCAACGACCCCTTTTTTGCAGCCCTCGCTGCCCCCCCTATTCATCGCCCCCCGGACGCCCCATCCTCTCCCCTTCCTCTCCTCGCCGGGAATCTCCGAGGCCGCCTTCAGAGCTCCCCTACAACCTGCGAAGACCCTGGGGGCCTCCCAGATGTCTCTGGTGCTTGGAGGCTTCGCCGAAAACGTGATGCACAAGGTCGTCCCCCCCAGCCCTCCGAGGATTTTTTTTTTTTTTTTTCTTTCCAATCCGCAACCCGATGCTCCCGACCCCTTTCCCGGGGATAGGTTTGCGTCCCGGTTTCGCTGTTGGTTCCGAAGGCCCGTAAAACAATCTCTGGAGACCGAAGCCCGGGAACCACCACCAGGATTGGACAATCAGCTGTGTCTGGGGGGGGGGAGGGGCGACGATTGGAAAGCCCGAATCGCGACATCGCAGGTCTGGGTCAGCATCGGCCTTGCCCCTGGCCGCCCGCCGCAAGCTGGAGTCACAAAAATATATATCTCCGGATGAAAAAACACAATGAGGCTCCAACGCAACCAGGCCGCCTCCTAACCCATAGGGGAGGACGAGGAGGAGGAGGAGGTTGAGGAGGAGGAGGAGGAGGAGGAGGAGGAAGAGAAGGAGGAGGAGGAGAAGGAAGGAGGAGGAGAAGAAGGAGGAGGAGGAGGAGGAGGAGGAGGAGGAGGAGGAGGAGGAGGAGGAGGAGAAAGAGGAGGAGAAAGAAGGGGGGAGGAGGAGGGAGGAGGAGGCAGGAGGAGGACGAGGAGGAGAGAGGAGAAGAGAACGAGGACGGGGAGGGTGGAGGGGGAGGAGGACTGAGGAGGAGAGGGGGGAGGGGGAACGATCCCCAAACGACGGACCCTCTGTAACTGCAGTGGAGAGGTCCGCTGTTGTTGCAGGAGGCGCCCCTGTGGCGGCGGCGGCGGGGGGCAGCCCCGCCGACAGCGCCCACAGCGCGCAGACGCAGATGGCCACGGACAAGAGCTTGGCCATCGAAGCGGCTGGGGATGCCTGCGACGGGGAGGGAGGAGGAGGAGGATGAAGAGGAGGAGGAGGAGGAAGAGGACCAGTGCAAATCCAAGAGCCATCAACGATGTTGGAATAAACCCTTCCTCCAAGCTCCCCCTTCATAGGCCCCTACAACAGGGCGTTCCCACTGAGGGAAGTGCCTCGTTGGAAGACAAGCGTTTGAACACCCTGAAGCATGCCAAAACATAGTACTCGGGATTCCAAAGCCACTGATCAACTTGAATATTGCGTCTTGACAATCCTGAATCGTGCCAGAACGCCGTTCCTGGGACTTCAACACCGCGAACCAATGAAACGGTTGCGCCCTCATATGATCCATTATCCTTCCAAAACACAATTTCTCGTACGCTGAGCATGGGAATCCGTGACCCCCCTGCAAATTGGAAACAACGACTGTGCGCGGCGCTAAAGAGATAACCACATTGTGAAAAAGAGCCGCCGTCAGGAGTGAAGCTCTTGCGCACGTTTTGAGCGAATGTGCGCGGCGCTAAAGCGAGAGCCACATGTTTAAAAACAGTCGCCTTCAATCCGTGAAACCCTTGCAGATGTTGACAACGATTGTGCGCGGCGCGAAGGCGAGAGCCACATTTTGAAAAACACCCGCCCTCCATCTGTGAAGCTGTTGTCATTTTCAAAGCTTCAGGGTCATAAGTGGTGAGCAAGTCTCAGGCGAAACGCCTGGCCCGCCCTACCTAAAAACCTAAAAACTGGCCTCGGGGTGCGACAAGGTTACTTATACGGAAAAGGGATGGAGGAGGAGGAGGCGGAGGAAATGGAGGAGGAGGAAAAAAAGGAGGAGGAGGAAAAGGACGACGGAGAAAAAAGGATGCCTGCGACGAGGAGGGGCCATGGAGGAGGAGGAATAGGAGGATAAATAATGTGAGGAAGAAACAGAAGCCATACGTAACACCTTTGGCGGATTCTGTTTTCCGATCGAAGCACGTTTTTCCTAATTTCTGCATCCTGGCCGCTTCAGGGGCCGAGGAAAACAACGCATGGATCTGGGACGAACTGACAGAAACACATGCCCAGAAGAACGCGTATGACAACGAAAAAAGGGGGGGGGCCCAAGTAACGCTGCCCTCCTTGTGCCTTCAGGAGGCCCTAAAATGCCCCCCTCCGACCTCAAAAAGGGGCGGGGGGCAGAATCAACAGCAGCCGGGAATCTACTGACCCGGGTCAATGCAAACACGGATCAATCAGGTTTTGCAAAATCCTGCAGGACCTTGCAAGGTCTTACAGGATCCTACACGCCAGCCCGGCTAAATGCAGCACTGGCTCTGCGGGATCCCGTGGGATTCGGCGCTCTGGCCGACCCCCGTTTGCAGGGACCTCCGTTTTAAGGCCCCCGAAGCAGCAACAGCAGCAGCAGCAGGACGCTTCTGGCCAACCAGGCCAGAGCAGAAAAAGGGGAGGGAAGAGGAGGAGAAGGCGCAGGATGGAGGAGAGGAAGGAGGAGGACGAGGAGGGAGGAAGGAGGAGGGAAGAGGAATAGGGAGGAGGAGGAGGAGAAGGAGGAATACTTCGACTGAAACGAGCAAAAAGAAGCATCGGAGTAATAATAAGAAGGCGAGGGAGTATCACAATAAGAAGAAGCATGCTCATACTAATATAAATAATAATAATAATAATAATACTAATAATAAAAACATGATGAAGCAGGCTAAGTATACAAATAAGTGTCTCATAACGAGACTAATGCGAATACTACTGCTACCAATAATAAGAACAAATCACAGCGGCATCGGGGGGCGGAAGTCTGCGTTGCGCAGCACGAGTACGCCCCCGCCGTCACCGCCTCACTGCGGCGCATTTCTGCCCTCCATGGCGTCGCGCACGCCGAGCAAACCGCCCCGGGCTTAGATGGGCGGCCCCCAAATTCACCATCCTGCAAACCACGCGGCCAGCTCGTCCTCCATGACTCCTGCTGGCGCCGTGCCCTCCTTTACCGCTGTGCCCGCCTGACTGCGGGCGCGATGGATTGTGCCCTTGATTGCGGCAAACTTGGTCTGCTCCTCAGTCGGTTCCTCCTCGGTCTCCACGTCCGGCGGCGGACCCACTCCGATGAAGACGGTGAGCTTGGCCATGTTGCTGTCGTAGCACCTGCTGATCCAAATGTGTTCGATTTTTCGGAGTACGGCGTGCGCGCTGATGGCGCCCAGATGCCTGCCGTGGTCCGCGAGGATTGCCCTCGCCCTGTCGCCGACGTCCGCGGCGCAGAGGGCCGAAATAAGTGTGAAGTAGAGATGTCCCTCTGTTGGTTTCAAGTGCGTCCTGTGCCCGCCTCCTTGCATCTGTCCGCGTGGACCTTCCCGCGCGCTGTGCTGGCCGCGATGATCGCGCCCTCCGTCAGGCTGAGGCGCGCACTGGAGGTTGCTGCCGCCAGCCGCGTCAACTGTTGAGCGTTGGCTAGGACCTGCTTGATCAGCACTGCGAGGAGCTCATTGAGCTCGGGGTCGACTTTGGAGCGGTGGGCTCCTCCCCCGCGCAGACATCTGCTTTCCCTCGCCCCTGCTGCCGCTGCTCGCGCTGGTCCGTCCATCGCCGCGGCCGCGGCTTCCCCGCCGGCCCCCGCCGACGCCCCGTCTCATCGTCCGCGTCCTTGGTGGTCTCGTCGCTACCCTTGCCCCGCTTGCGCTCGTTGAGCTTCCGTTCTTCGGCGCCGCGCTCGGCCCCCGCCCGGCCGCCGGCCGCGCCGCCCACCTGCTGCCGGCAGGGCGCGAGCAAGGCCATCTTGCGCGAGGCCGATGTCCAGACAGGTTACGGTCTGATCCACTGGTAAGTGCAACGCGCAGAAATGTTTTTGCAATTCTGAACGACGCGCGAAGAGCTGCATATCGGGACGAAGCGGGCAGGCGAGGTCGTCGACGGCAATCAATGGGCGGTCGAGCCTGGCATTGTCTGCCAGGCAACGCTTGCGCTTGAGCGATCGCAGCAAATTGTCTTCGGCTCGGGCACGATCCAGACATGCAGCGCGGCAGAGGGGGAATGCTTGGTGATGGTAAGGAAATGGTGATGGACATTGCTGAGCACAACCGATGACATCCGATATTTGTCGCGGCCTCGCGCGCGCGGCGCCGCCTGCGCCCGGGGGGCGCCCCTGCGCGCCGCGCCCGAATCCACCAACTACTCGCGCGTGAATTGAAGGGGCCCAGGGGCGCGCGCAAATGCACGCATATTCCACTATTCCTTTTTTGTTTTCACATTTTCTGGATTTTCGTCGCCCCCCAACTTCCCATATTTTCCTATATTTTTCTCGTGGTAGACGATTAAGTTGCGCCAGTGCTTTTCCCACCCCGACATTGCCCCAGCGCGTCTCCTTCTTTTTCTTCGCCAGCTGGCTCGGCGACGCCGGGGGGGGGGCGCCGCGACAGCTGATGCCTTGGCCCCGAGCTCTGCCGCGCCGGTGCTGGGAAGGGCCTCGGGCGCCTCGGCGTCGCGGTAACGCGGCGCGTGGCTGCCGCCCCAGGCGCGGCTGAATTGCTCGGCGCTGTCAAGAGCGAGGAGGGGGCGCGCGTCGCGGCAGCGCTGCCGCGCCCGGGGGTCGGCGCTGTCCGCGGGCGAGCCGTCTTCGTTGAGCTCCCGCTCTCCGTTGGGAGGGTGGCCCTTGTTGCGATTGAATCGCGCCTGGGAGAGCCGCGGCCCATTCGTCGTAGTCGGCGCAATGCATGGCGAGAGGCCTGGGTGATACGCGCGCGTCTGACCCGTATCTCGACGCAAATTGGGAATTTGCGACAGCGCAGGAACACTTCGATGATGGACATAGCCATGTAGCACCCGTCTTCCTGTGTAGTCGCCTTCCCCTGCGTCGGCGCTCTGAGATACCCGGCGATGGTGAAGTCTAGCCTGCGAAGCTCTGCGTCCTTGATGAGATGCGATTCCACGCCGCTGGCGGCGGCGCCGATGATACGCTGGTGTACATGATGCGCTTGAGCCTCCAGGGAACTCTGCAATGCTAGAATTTCCCCATGGTGCCCCATGCGCGCGTGACGCTCTGGATGCGACGGTCGACCTCTACGGCGTTGCTGCCTCCGTGATGGCAATGTTCAACGAGATATCTCACACTGCGAATGACTCGTCCTGGTAGGTGTAGAGCGAGGGGGCGGCTTTCTTCGCGCGTGCTCAATCCGCCGACTTCTTCTTTCTCCCTTTTCTGCGAGTAGCTGTGCTGCTCGAGCTGGTCGTCGAGGGTTGCGTCGCTGGCGTTAAGAGTGGCCGCCGCTTGCTTCGCCGCGCCATTGCCGACGCCCTGCGCATTCAAAATGGCGCCCGCGCCGAGGAAGACAGAGAGGTCGATCGTGCTGTTCGTGGCGGGCGACGCTGCTGCGACGGGCCCAGAGTCTTTCGCGGTGCCCAGCCACCGGCCGATAGGCTGCTCGCGCGGGAAGGTTATATGCAGCGGAGCCTGCGCCGCGGCTTGGCATCGCTCCAGATCCAATTTCGAAATCACCTGACTGATCGAAACCGCCCACCCTGTAGAGCATTTGCAGTGTTGAACAAGGAGCCGCTGCTCGGCGAAGTCCAGACGCGTCGGAGTGACTTCCGCGGCCTCGTCTATCTTAGCGCTCGGGGATGCGCTGATCGCGCCCCTTCCGCCTGCGACGCAGCCCAGGGCGGCCCGCTGACGCCCGGCGGCGACGATGCGAGGGGCTGCCGCGCGCACTTCGCGCATGTGCGCGGCGCGCGCGCGGGATGCGCTGGGCCTGGTGCGAGGGGCTTTCAATTGGCCACGACGAGCATGCAGCTCTTGCTGCGATGAGCACCCAGTGGGGCAAAGCCGACCCTGCACGCGTGATCGAGAATGCCTTCGTGCCCTCTGTCCATGCGCCTCGATCAGCTCCTCGTTGCGTCCGTGGCCCTGGGCCTGCGGCTTCCTCTCGGTGGTCTGCGCGGGCTGCAGGGTGATCTGGGGCATTCCTGCTGGGGGCGACCGCCCGGGCACTGCTGCGCGCTTCCTGACGTGCTGGGGGTGCAGCTTGACC